CACTCTCATTAACTGATATGGTTTTTACATTCGTATATCACGGCTATTTTGGGCAGTTCTCTGTTTTTTGGTTGTATTATTTTGCTGAATATAAGTCCGAAAGAATTAATGCTTTGATGAATTGCATCCAGGCAGTACAATTGGCCTAGTAATATATCTTGACGGCCTTTGTTTCTCCTTTGAGTGCTTGTTATAATTGTCCGAAGGTCGATAGAAGTCTACGAACATTGCCAAAGCGTTGTCAAGCGCTCTTGAATCAATTCAGACAGAGATAAATAAAACAGTGAATAAAACTGAATATGTTCGCCTTAATGCAAAAAAATGCTAACTCTCTAGGTCAAGCACTCGGTTGACTATCAGTGCAAATATTTATTTACTAAGTATGCCTGGAATAGTCTAGCTGTGGGCCAACAAATAGGTAAAGCAAGGCGCATATTTTAAAATGTGCCAAGCGAAAATTCCATTCTTTTTGAAGCAAAATTCTGTTCCATAACTTACAATTAAGCCAACAGATGTGACTACTATAAAACATCCAGTTTGCTTTATATCATATTTATGATATTTATGCGAATCAAGTGTTTCCATATGATCTAATGTTGATTGCTTTAGTAAAATTGTTGTTGGGATGAAAAAAAAACGGTTATTGGATAAAAGATTGGGAAGGTGTAATGACTCTATCTACATCCGTTTTTTTTCTTGAAATTAAATAAGTTTATCATAATTAGTGTTATTTAACTCGACTTGGATAATTGGGTGGCGTTTAGCAAAATTTCACCATAAAGGAAAATGTTTGGTTTAAATAGAAAATTGGAGAAGAGTCTACCTCGGTTTTAAAATTTCTGTTTAATTTTGGGAATGGAAGGCGAAGAAGCCTGTGTCAGAATGGTTGGGGAGAGCGTTGGAAATCTGGCAGAAATAAAGGCGTTTGATTTGTTAACTGTTATAAGCAGGGTTCAAATAACGAATAAAATCAATAATTAGCTTGCAAACTGGTGAAATAGTCACACTCGGCTTGGAGGTTGGGTAGAAAACAGAGATGATTTGATGGCATCCATCGAAAAGCCTAAGTTACACTCTTACTGCCGATTTCATTGTAGAATTTTCTCAGTTTGCATATTCCAATGGCTAATTATTTCAGTATTTAGAAACTCATTCAATCTGCTTCTTTCAATTAATGATTCCACTGGAGATGTCCCAACAGGTCTTGAATAAGTAGCTGTTCAGTAGTTCTTGAGTAGAACTTTCAGCTTTCTGAGTACGATTCCGGGAAAACTATATTAATATTTAGTTTCAAAGGGAGATCTCCATTATTTGTCCACCATCCTAGATTGCATTCATTGATGCGGCTTCCTTTTCCTCCACTTCACTTCGCTCGATATTTTTTATCTGAGAGTTCTTCTGCACATTTACATTTCACTTCATGCACTTCCTCGAGTCGTTTGACAAAACTATCACCTATTTCACCCTATGTTTACCTTATCTTAACCTTGACTCACAATTCAACTTCTTCTAATTCTTCCAATGCATCATTTATCAAATCAACTCTAACTCTTCTAACTGAGGGTGGATGAGAATTGGAGAGGGACTTTTACTGGAATTTCGAGATAAATTTGGAACTACTTGAACTATTTCTAGAGTACTACACTGCATCGTCCGATTTTAGAAATGTGTCCCAAATAGTGGACTACTTCCCTGCAATTATAATGCCGTTTTGATGTTTTAACTGCTGTTTCATCTGTGAGGGAGAGATGATCTTTATGCGCTAATCGAAACTGAATTTGAAAATTCAATCAATACCATTCTACCTACATATTTAATTCTGCGAATGGATGTCTAAGTCTGTGGTAATTTTGGATATTGATGCCTCAACATTACATTGTCATGTCTAGCTCATTGTACTTGTGAGCCTTCGTACTGGTCCACACGTGTACGTTACCTATGACACATTGCCATCCTAACTCTAGACTCAGTTGAAAGATTGTTTATTAAATGTTGGGAAGACCTGCTTAGCCATTACAACAAGTTGGCGACTCCTGGTATTCTAATTCAATCTGAACGGTATATAATTTATTAGTTTAACAACGAATCTACAAAATACTTCTATATTTATTTTCCCTTTAAACTACTACCGACCTTGTGCCTGCTCATATAGTCTACTCAATGCCATGCATTGGCTTGCACATCATTTAAATGTTAAGGAAGCTTCCATCTATTTCTTTTTGGTCTGAGTCACCATAACCTTAGTGAAGAGAACTTATTTCGTAATAAGCGACAGCACAGATGTGCATATTTTTATTGATAATTCCTTTCTCAAGTTCCACTCTCAACTTAAGTTACCTCTTGCCGATTATTTAATGCAAAATGGCTTCGGTTATCCTACCATCAAACAACCCATTTATACGGAGAGGGAAGATAGCATTAAATCTTGTGTTTGTCAGGAAAAGTGCATTAACTGTGGGTTTGAGTTCTGTCAATCGTTTTCCATCACTGCCAGAATGAGAATGGACGAACAGCGATAAAAGAGACCTTTAAAATTAAAATTTCGCATTATATTTTGAAGTTTGAGCATATTACACAAATTCATTCATGCCAAAATCTACTTTGATCAGCACAAAATAAATACAAAATAAATATTGCTTCATGTAAGCAAATAAAATATTCTGTAACCAATTAGAATGCATAAATATTTCATTCAAATTTCCATCCTTTTTAATCACATTAATTTGAACGAATTCGATCACATGAAGGCTGTAAGTGTCGTATAACATAAATCGATATATCCATACGCTTTGCATTGTGTGTCGTCGGGTTGTACTTAAAACTGGTAAAATTTCACATGGAATCTGAAAGTCGGTTGGGTACTATAGGGGGAAGAGAGGAGATAAATCGACAAGTCATCATAGTTTTAATTCGCCCCCTCCCTAGAAGTTTTGACTCCATTTAACGTAAATGGAATACCTTAGACCTTGCCAATAACAGCGAAGTAGCGAGCCGGTCTAACTTTTCCAATACATTAATTTTACTCAGTTTTTTCAGTTAAGCAACATGACATTTAAAATGAATTTTATTATTAAAGTAGGCTGGGTTTCCTTTTATTTGTAAGTTCTGGTGCAAAATATCCCTAATCAAATAAATGCTTCTCGTAAAGATAATGATCGTCTTAACGTTATCAGCAAGTATAAACCAATGGCATTTGGTCAACAAAATGATTGAAAGGAGAAGTAAAAAAGGAATCAGAAAGGGAATCGATAATCTGTAATAAGTTTGCGAATTGTGTGGGACCGAGTTTGAATGTTTATATAAAAGTAAAATGTGACTAACTCCAAAGCAGAAATGGAAATAATAGATGAAGTAGAAAAGATAATAAAAAACAACCACCCATCTTAAGTGAGCCAAATTGTGATTTATAAATTATTGAAGGAAAATCCCAGACGATTTTTGTTAAAGATCGAATAGTCACATAGTTTAAGTCTGTTTATTTCACAAAATATTCTTCCAGTTAATAAACTTGACTCCATTAATGTAAAGAAGAATTTTGTTTATCTACTGAAAATTTATTACATTTGCACTCAGTGAATATTTTTAAATTATTTTCTCACTATAAGTTTAATTACAAAATTCTATTATGTATTACCAAATGAGGTCGATCATGATAAAATGTTATACTTCTGCTATTTTGGTATACAGTGACAAAATTCGTATAAAAAGCTATATGCTACCCAGATTCTTATTTTTGGTATCCAAATAAGATTTGGCCAATTATATGATATATTGTTCAATGACCTAACTAGTGTGATAAAATTGAAATTAGGTAAATAACCATTAAGATTCCACTCGTATTTTATTAGTAAACTTTATACAATTCGGAAATTTAGTCAAGTTAACTAAATTTACATCTGCAATATAGTCGCTATGTATTCTCGTTTTAATTGGACACTAAATATCAAAAACTAACATTTTAACATTTATTTTCTTCATTTACATTATTATAATCATAAACTATAAAAGTATTCTGGCGTAGATAAACTTGTTTTAACCCATAAATATGTCAAGTATAAAATCATATGACTCGCAGCGCACATTTCTCTTTGAAAATTGTGTGGTGCTTAGACGTCAAGCTGATAGGTGAGCGCTTAGATACTTATTATGCACGTATCTTTACGCAACTTATCATAGTTTGTATTCATAAAATTTAAATTACTTAGTAGCTCCCGAGATTTTTCACTTAAATAGTTTTCTGATAACCTGTAAATTCTTCTTGTCAGTTATTACTCCCGCTTGAAATTATATCTGCATTTGAACTGATTTATGATGCTATTTCTCTTCTTATTTTACATTACACACAATATCCGCTTAATGTTTTCATAAACGGTGTCCTCTCTTTCAAAAAAGAAAATTTTAGGAACTTCATGAATTTTGTAGTGCGTTTTTTTAATCTCCTGTTTGTACGTATTTTTTTGTCGTTATTATTTACCTAACTGCCTGTTTTTGACAAATCATAAGTCTAACATTGCACGTTTCATTTAAATACCATTTTCGTTTCAGTAATGTGTTTTTCGCGTTTCATTACAGGGCTATTAAGATTTAAGTTTTTCTCGGGTGCTGCAACCTAACAGTCTAAACTAACCCACTTTGGTAACCCCTTACTGCTTTGCTTTCAGCCAGTGCCAATTGGTACGCTCAATGTTTGGATGTTATTGTCTCAAACGAGCAAGCGCTTCTTTGTCTGCGATTGCTTGTATTTTTAATCGGGTAATTTCTTTTCCCTTCCACCTCCCACCATTCCAAGGTTCTCAGCCAAATCTAGCTCTGGTTCACTCGTTTCCACTCAGGGTTTTATCTTCATCCTCTCTTCAATCACCTTGTGCTAGTTTTGCACTGTTACTTTTGTCTGAGATGTTTGAAGGGCTAACATACTAACCTCCTTTTTACTGTTTTTTTTTCTCTTTTTCTTTCTTCCTTATTTGATTATTTGATTTATTTCTTAGCAAAGAACCTCTATGCCTCCCACCGGTTCTTCTCTCGAAAAGGTCGAGAAACTTAGAAATACGATTAATAATGCCGCAGTTTTGGTCTTCAGTAAAACCTATTGCCCTTATTGCCAAAAGGTAGGTTTTTTATTGCTCAAATTAACCCTTTCTGTACTTATTAGGTCAAAGACCGCTTCAAGAATTTGAAAATTCCCTATGGATCTCTTGAGTTAGATCTTAAAAGTACGTTCCCAATGAAGTATACTATTAACCTTGTTTTTACTTAGAAAATGGAGCTGAATATCAGGCCATGTTGAAGGAAATCACAGGGCGAACTTCAGTTCCACAAGTTTTCTTCCGTGGTGATTTTATCGGTAGGTGAATCGGGCGTATTGTTTTATCACTTTCCTTTCAAGGTGGCTGCGATGATGTGATGGCTATTGACGATGAGACCATTGTGAAGAAGGCGAATGAGATGAAGTACGACTATGACATGGTTGTTATTGGTGGTGGTTCCGGTGGTTTGGCACTAGCCAAAGTAAGGAAACAAACATTTTTTTATCTGCTCTAAAGTTCTACCAAAGTGCTCCTAATTTGGCTTCATTTCCTCTTCTAGCAAGCTGCAAAATCGGGTGCTAAGGTTGCGCTTCTTGATTTTGTTGTTCCATCTCCGAAAGGCACAGTGTGGGGTTTGGGTGGCACCTGCGTTAATGTTGGTTGCATTCCCAAAAAACTGATGCATCAAGCCGGCCTTCTTAGTAAGTTCTATCGTGCACGTGTCCTCTTATCAATCTTGAAGTTGGCGCACATCACGTTAGTTAAATTTATTGCTGTACTTGTTAATTATTGATTTAAGGTGGTGGGTTACCACGAGTTTACCAGTTTCTCCTTGTTGCATTGAATGGTTCGCAGATTTTAGGGTTAATTCGTTTATCAGTTTGAATATGCCCACTTTGCTGGTTCGTATAGATTATAGGTGATTTTGTCGCTCTTATTGGTGGTTCTTTTTCCTAATACTCGCTGAAGTATACCATAACTAAGTATAATTTGGAAATTTTACGGATGAATTGCTTAAATACTACGCTATTTTAAGGCGTTCATATGCCGGTTTTTTATTAACTCTGCGTTATAGTAAGGAACTAGAAATTGAAAAATTAAACTTGTCAAAATGCCACCAATCTGACTTCTCCGAACTTTGTCGCAAATAGAGTAAAACAGAATTAAAGACAAACTGAAAGTTTCCTTTGGGCGATGAAAGAGAAGATAGCTAACTGGCTTCCAAAGGCCTTTGCTAGAAGGGGGGGGGGGGAAGTGGCCATGCATTGGTTACTGCAGAACAAATTCTTTGAAATGCTGCTCATTTCAATTGCCTTGTTTATGAATTCGACTGGGGTTACTTAAATAATGCCTGGTTTCTTGCTTTTTGTTCTTCCTCGACATATAGTCTCTCTCTGTCGTAGAATCTGGTCTAGGAGGTGTTCAATAAGTTGGAAAAGAACTCGAATTGTATTAATTTCCCACGATTCGTATCCAAAACCATATATCATGTTTTACCTACTGAGGATAAGTTGTATTCACTACCATTGAACTCCTTTCGAATCTTCCATATAATGGGCTATTTGTTCTGAAGAGGATTATTCCGTGCTTCTTTAGTCTTTTTTTCAACCTTTAAAGGAGCAAGTTCTGTCTTTGATATTTACTAAATAGGCTTTTTAACGTCTTGTTTTCTCAAGATCATTATTTGGAAGATGCCGAATCTTTCGGTTGGGGTCTTATCAAGCAGAATCACGATTGGCAGAAGATGGTTGGGGGTATTCAAGATCACATTCGCTCTCTCAACTTTGGCTACCGATCATCTCTCATGAGCGCTTCAGTTAAGTACCTCAACGCCCTTGGGGAAATCGTCGACCCACATACTATTAAGACTACCAACAAACAGGGCATTGTAAAGAACATCACAGCTAATTCCATTGTAATAGCCACTGGTGAACGTCCGCGTTATCCATCTATTCCCGGAGCGAAAGAACACGGTATTACAAGGTAAATTAATCTCGATAACCTTTCTCTAGCTTGATGATTGATAATACATCTAAATACCATGTCTTGTTCTCATAGTGATGACTTATTCTCATTGGAACGCAGTCCCGGCAAAACACTGTGTGTTGGTGCTAGTTATGTGTCGTTGGAATGCGCTGGTTTCTTGAGAAGTATTGGCTACGATGTTACCGTCATGGTTAGATCCATCTATCTGCGTGGTTTTGATCAGCAGATGGCGGAAATGGTTGGCGACTACATGGAGAAGTTTGGCGTGAAATTTATCCGCCCCTGTGTTCCGACTTCGGTAAGTTCTTATTTATATTTGGACATAGAGTAAGGAATTGGGTGGGGTATTTTGTCGCATATTGTTGAGTTTTTTTTCACATTTTGAGGTGTTAAATATAAAATTATTCCTCCTCTTTGAGAGGGCAACATGTGAAGCTCTAACAGTGGTATTTTTTTTTTCCTATTTCTAATTTATTGCTATCCTTGTTTTTTTACCCCCAAGGAGAGTATTTGAATACGATTTCCATCTCTACTGAGAAGTCTTTGAGGCTACCTTGATCAAATCTGTCTATTTTTCTTACATTTTTTTCCATTCGTTTTATCATTTGCTCTATTTTGTATAGCCAAGTCCCTGTAGATCTGCATTTTAGAGTAAGGTTATTCGCTTTCTTTGGTAGAAGTGCATCTAAGGACAGGTATAAGGTCGTCAACACCGCACTAACTACCCTCCTCGTTTTTAAAATCCATGCATATTCCAGAATTGCCGGTGTTAGGTTTTCTTTTGAAGTTGGTGGACCAATGTCAACTGTCGTTGAATATCTTGGGTGTATCAGCCTTTGATAGCGCAATGCTTATCCCCAAAAGAATGAATCTGACCAACTCTATTCACACCAATCTAGACTGTTGACTACTTAGGGAGAAGGATTAGTATCTGGAAGTGATTGGAAACATCCGAAGAAACCTTGCTCCATGCTGATTGGTGGAAAATGTTAATCT